TATAAAACTTATTGGTTTATATGATTTTACAATGTTCTGTGATGCACTAGATAAACATGTATACAGTAAAAAGGTGCAAAAGTACGGAATCATATATTTACGAGCTGTTTATATTTACATCCGAATTGGATAATGCAAGCAAAGAAGCAGAAGAAGACTAAATGCGTCTAAGGGAAGCGGCTTCTTTATAATAATTTATATTATCACCTTTGACTTCTATATTTTTGGTAACGACGGCCTGTTGCGATAGCACGCACTTTATTTCTCTTTTCTCATGTTCAGAATTTATTTCTAATGCAGTTGAGTTGGAATTGTAGCGTGCTACGGCCCGCAAGGTTGAGGCAAGAGACTGGTTTAGAGTGGCTGAATAACTCATATAACCTTGTCTGTACCCCAACATTCCTTCATAACCTTTAAGCACCATAGGTATTGGTGACTCTTTGTTGGCTATGAACTTGCATTGACCGCCTATTAAATAGGAGCTAAATATCTGCTTCGTAAAGTTAATATTTAACTCATTTGATGTGTCTGTCGCCTTGTTGGCCAACACCTGCACGTTTAAATTATCGTTGGCTAATTCAATGGATCCAGAAATCTTGTTCTTCGTCCAATTGTCCAGGACATTGCCACTGATCTGTCCCCACAAGTTGCCAAACACGTTATGGCATAACTTATATGAAGTATCATTATTCAAGTTCGTTTCCAAGTAGGCACAAAATGTTGGTTTGGAGACCGTATTAATACCATTACTAAAGAATGCCAGTAAACAATTATTTATAACAAATTTATTATGTTGTGTGTGAATTAGCTAAGAAGAATATCCTAACTAATCGTTGAAAAAAAATTTGTTTTTAATTTTTGACTCATATAACTATTTGGCTGGTTTTAATAGGGTTTCTTATATTGTTTTTAGTATTGCACAATATAGCTGAATTTGTAGGTAGCCCTATGATTTTACTTGAATTTAACTTGTCGCAAAATGTATAGGTTATTTTATCTTTTTTTAGTAGATTTTAAATTTAATATATCTAGCGACTTATAATCCACATACAATTTAGATTATTCACGAGCCATGAATTATGAATCATGACTTATATTATATTTTTCCATTACGTATTCTAAATAAACATTTTTCAAAATTTGAATTTTTTTACATAATTTGATTTGATTTAACAATAAAAGTAGTCCGAGCAACGAGATAAGGGGCATAGAGTATAAATAAATAGACATAATTCGATCATATTGTTTCTATGACAAATCCACACCGTTCATTAAATCAACATTATGAATTTGGCGGTGAGTAATAATAAACATTATTTTAGTCAAATCTTACTCTTCGGCGTTTTCAGGAGCACTGTCTTTATTTCTGGAATATGTGACACCATATCCGAACCTGTTGTCCATGTGGTCTAATGAACCTAGTGCCAGCTTATATGTTAAATAGTTCGTGAAATTATGTCGTCCTGGTCTCCAAAAGGTCTCAATCTTGGAACTCCCAGTGAACCCTGATAAAACACTGGGTTTTACATTGATTAAAACCGCCTTATTGTATGTCGGGCATTTGCCTAAAAAAAAAAAAACGTTAAGTCATAATTAATAACCCAAATAGAGTCGATTAAAAAGTTATATTATGCTTGCGAACGCTTAAATAATTCTGAAAAAATGTCATATACCTATCTACGATTACGTCTCATTCAACGACATCACAGTAAAAAAAAAAAAAAAAAATCGATTTTAGCAAAAGCCGATCACGGCGTTGATTTAAATATGCCGTCGATTGTACCAACGTTATATATGTTTGTTTCGAATTTTTGTCATTGCGAAGAAAATAACTTGAAATTAAAAAAAATAATAAAAATCCTGTCCAGGCATTGAATATGTTCATAAAATACAAGAAAGCCGTGGTGAGTCTTTTGATTTGTTCGAGCCTTATGGTCGAAAGCAAGAAAATCTTTAATATAGGTAGTTTGTAAAAAAAAAAAAATACAAAATATATATTCATACCGTTGTCATTCTTAATCGTATACTTATAATTATTATTTTCCAGGTTTCAAACATAATAAGAAAATTTGATTACAATTATCAATAATCAATAATCAAAATTATGAAATATATGAGAAGTCACGGCACAGGAAGAATAGCGGTATAAGTTATGGTATTCGGTTTAAACTATCCAAAAACACGCCGCTTTTTCGAATTCAATAGCCTTTAAATACTATTATATTTTTCAATCGATAAATGACGGTATACTAGTCATATCGGTATTGATCTAAACCGATAAATATCTATCATAAGAATGTATGCAAGCTGATAATGTAATCTATGTGTAAGTACTCACTCATGGGGCTGTTCATCGTTTTAGTCTCCATTGAGTCGCAAATAAGATCGTTTTTGAAATAGTAGGAAACTTTTATATTATTCGTTAAAAAATTGAATTAAATGAAATATTATAGAACCTATTACTACTATAACCGTTTTGTTTATTTTCAAACGATTTTTTGCTCCATTGTTACCAATAAACCGAAAGAAAAAATAGGCTAGATTATAAAAAAAAAGAAATCTATACATTTTGATATTAGATTAACTACTCATAATTTTTCGTATTTTAAATAAACGAGGAAAGGATAAAACTCCTATTATCCCCCTCTGTATATATATTATACGGTTTTAACTATTCAAAATCACTCCGCTTTTTCGAATTCAGTATCTTTTAAATACTATAAGGTATATGTTTCAATCGTCAAATGACGGTATACTAGTCATATCGGTATTGATCTAAACCGATGAATATGTATCATATGAATGTATGCAGGCCCGTCGCTAGTGCACAAGCAGGTTAAGCCATTTCCTAAAGGCGGAAACATATTCAATGAAAACTGAGGCAGCATTTTTTATGACAGAAAATACGTTGTATTAGGATTCANCAGTAAAAAAAAAAAAAAATCGATTTTAGCAAAAGCCGATCACGGCGTTGATTTAAATATGCCGTCGCTTGTACCAACGTTATATATATTTGTTTCGAATTTTTGTCATTGCGAAGAAAATAATTTGGAATTAAAAAAAATAATGAAAATCCTGTCCAGGCATTGAATATATTCATAAAATACAAGAAAGCCGTGGTGAGTCTTTTGATTTGTTCGAGCCTTATGGTCGAAAGCAAGAAAATCTTTAATATAGGTAGTTTGTAAAAAAAAATAAATTACAAAATATATATTCATACCGTTGTCATTCTTAATCGTATATTTATAATTATTTTTTTCTACATTTTTTTTCTAATTTTTTTCTAAGTTGAAACTTATCAAAACCACTTCAGATAAAACATGGGGAATGAAAGGTTAACCGGGTTGGCATTGTTATCTATTGTCATCTATACTCGGCGCAAGAATTGGATTTAAGAGTTAACTTGGAAGTTAATTATTGGTTTGTTACACGTTTTTGAACGTAGGTAAGCTGATAATATAATTTATGTGTAAGTACTCACTTATTTGGTTGTTCATCGTTTTCGAGTCCATTTTGTTGCAAAGTTAATATAAATTGTCGTAATAAAACTTTGAAAATATTTGATAAATTCAAATATTGAATTATTATATTTATTGTTATAATTATAAACTGAGAATTATAATATGTTTATTTATTTTATTGGCATCACCTGGGTACCTATTACTATTATAACCGTTTTGTTTTATTTTTAGAAAAACGTTTTTCTTTATTGTGTAATAGTTAACCAAAAAAAATTAGTCCAGATCATAAAAAAAAGAAACCTATACATTTCGTTACTAGGAGAGAGGGAGGGAATTTACGAGTTACGCTTGGGGAAACTTGTACAATCGCAATTATTATTTCAGTATAATCGTTTATGTTATCGGACGAAAAAAGAAAAAACATTAACACACATACACGTAGGGTACCTAAACGATAAATTAGTTCTGATCGATCAATAATTATATCTTCCGGATTCCGAAACAATCAAGTAACCCGGTGCGCATTGTCAGTCGCGAACCGTTGCATCCACGTCGAATTTGCGCGCCATCAAAAACATCGCCAGATCACGTTGCCGTTGCGATGTCGTTACGGTTGTTACTGTTTTAATTATTTACGAGAAACGCGTTGCATTGACGTCAACTGTTCAACATCGACGCGATATTAAAATGAATATCACTGCCGATGACTCTACACATTTTTTATCTTGTAATTCATCCCCGAGCAATATTGCCGGCGTGTTATAAATGTAATCCCGCCTGCATAGCACAGGTTAATACTGACGCGACGACATAATAACAATAAATAATGTTATCGGTGGTTTTTACGCTGTAGGAAGTGTATTATATTTTTGTAACTACGACGTGTGTGTCTATGTACAGGGCCACGTGTTATTCCGTCGACGGACTCTGATCGGTGTTAGGCCATCAACCTATAATCACCATTGGACATTCTTATATAGTTTGTTGGGGTATTATCATTTATCACGTTGTAACGTGTTTTGTGCAGCCGCCTACGAGAACGAATTATTATATCGTAAATAATCTCAATATTATTAATCGTTGTACTTGATATTCTGATATTCTTAATAATTTCATTTACGTACACGCGTTATGCGTGTACCTATATAATTGATCGAAACGTCCAAGTGAATGGCACCGATGAGACAGGTGAGTATTTTTTTTTTTGTTACTTATGTCAAACGAATTTGTTTGTAACGCCCTTTCGTATTTTCTGTAAAATATTTGGAAACGTGCGTCACGGGTAATCGCACTGTTCATTGAATCCAGAACACATGTCGTTGTCCCGACCACATGGATTTATCAATCAACCGATAATATTGGTAAAATAACGTTATTCGCATAGTGGCCACCGAAATCGGATACTAATGTTACCAGTGAAACTATTCATAATGCAACACTTCCGTCAGAATATTGAGCGTCTTATAAAATACGCCTTTTGGAGAACAGCACAGAATAATGTAAGTACCAATAACTGATTACAACGTAGATACTGTATGTATATATTATGCACCTAGGTATTAATTTTTAAAAAAAGGGCTGATATTGAAGATTTGTGTACCACTATTGTTACCGGGAAATTGGTAAGGTTATGTGATACATAATATTCTCTAACTTATGTCTCTAGAAAAATAACCATAAACCATTACTAACAAAAAAAAATATTTGTTGTGATAACTTTAACTTCAGTGATAATAATGTTTGGAAATTTGTAAATTGTAAGATTTTTTTCTAAATTGTACTTTAAAACATTTTTGAAAAAACTACACCATTATTTTTAATACTAAGGACAACTTATAATGAACCCTGTGTTCAATTTGCAAGCATTTCTGGTTTGTCAAACAATTGTATTCATATAATACGTACATACCTATACATACCAATAGGTACCTATATATTTTCTCATTATTATAATTATACAAACAAAATTGTTTTTATTATCTTATGAGTTTTATTTTTTATTTAGATAACTTCAATAAAGCATGACATACAAAAGTTGAATATGTTAATTCCACCACTGAAAGTGAAGAGATGTCTAAAAGTTTGAGAAAATAAAATACTGGACTCCGAAAGTGATGTTGAAGGCAAGTAGATTAAAAATTAAAATAGTTGTAGGTATGTGAAAAAGTAAAATTCAAAATATTTGAGTTGATAGGTACAGAAAAGAATGGATGGGTTTAGACATGTTTACTTTATTTTTTGAATTTATTTTAATACAATATTATATGTCTTCATTACTCAGTAAAACTCAAAACTTGGTATTATGGTAGAAGTATTTCTCTTAAATACAAATATTTATATTAATTTATTATATTTCAAATAAAATGTTAATTTGTATCTTGTATGGGAGAAAGAATTAACTAGGTACTAATAAAATCAAAAGAGTACCATGCAAAAGTACNCAAAACTTGGTATTATGATAGATTCAGTTCTAATAAATACAAATATTTATATTAATTTATTATATGGCAAATAAAATGTTAATTTGTATTTTGTATGGGAGAAAGAATTAACTGGGTACTAATAAAATCAAAAGAGTGCCATGCAAAAGTACTTATCTGCCAACTAGATTAAATTGTCTGATGTAGTAATTAAAAAATTATTATATGGCAAATAAAATGTTAATTCGTATCTTGTATGGGAGAAAGAATTAACTAGGAACTAATAAAATCAAAAGAGTGCCATGCAAAAGTACCTACCTGCCAACTAGATTAAATTGTCTGTTGTAGTAATTAAAGAATTATTTAATTAAATGGGTATTTACAATTTTAGAAAGTATTTGGAATAATATTTAACAGGTATTTACCCTTAAATTTAAAAAAAAGAAGACTTTTATGTAAATACTTTAGAAAAATATGATCAATATAATAAAATTGTAATTTAAAACAAATTANTATGGGAGAAAGAATTAACTAGGTACTAATAAAATCAAAAGAGTACCATGCAAAAGTACCTACCTGCCAACTAGATTAAATTGTCTGTTGTAGTAATTAAAGAATTGTTTAACTAAATGGGTATTTACAATTTTAGAAAGTATTTGGAATAATATTTAACAGGTATTTACCCTTAAATTTTTAAAAAAAAAGACTTATGTAAATACTTCAGAAAAATATGATCAATATAATAAAATTGTAATTTAAAACAAATTGAATATAATATTCTCTAGATGATATTGCTTACAATGTAATGCCTTTATGTACAGAACAAACTTTGGATAATAATAGTACTACTTCTAATACATCTATATCACATATGTCACAAAATCTACACAAAACAATTACAATTAAATGGTAATTTATTAATCAACTACTTTTTTTTTTTTCATAAAGAAATTACATGTATAAAAAGTTTTATATATCCTATTATTTTATTTAGGTATCACATTTAATGCCAATGGATTCAGTTAAATATGGTGTAAAAACTCCTAGTATTGGAACAAAGTCAAACTTTGTGCATGTACACTGAAGTTGCACATTTAAATTCTCAAAATTCAACTGCTCCTCATATTATAAATATTATAAATGTTCAATATACAGAATTAACAAATGATCCAGCAATAACAATTCAAATATAGTTCCTCAGATGGTAAATATAATATATTATTAAATTAATTTAATTCTAAGTTTTTCTTAAAATAATTCAGCAATATATTTAATGAATTTAGCGGATTTGGTTAATAATTTTAAATTAAATTATAAAATAATATTTAACTTTTTTATAATCAATTTGATTTGAATATCTCCCAATATATATTAAAGGCATTTATATAAAATAAAAAAAATGCATGTATTTTATCAAAAAAAAAAA